TGGTGTGTGTGGAGGGTGATGCAGAGGTCAATGGTGGGCATGAGTGGAGGGGGAGGGATGTTCATTTCTGTGAAGGGCAGATTCTGGGGTGCATGGGGCTGGCTCTAGCATGTGTCTGCGTCTTTAGGGGTTGATGCTCTGTTTGGTAGGTGAAGTTTTAGGGCTAAAAACCTGATGATGTTCAGTGTAGTTATCAGCACATCTTCCAAGTGAAAATATTTCAGCAGAGAGGTACTGGAGGGTTGAATAATCTTGCCTGGTATCAGAGTGAAATGTATGAAGATCACAGTCCTGTCTGGCCTCAGGCTGGTGTGGAAGAGCCAACAAGAAGTGTCGATAGAAGAGGAACCATGACTCCAGATGGCCAGGGCAGATACAGAAGCAGCCCCAGTAGGGCAGGTCACAGCACAAGGCCAGGCATATCCAAACATTTATTAATAAAAAAGTTACAATAATTTATGCCCTTTGCAACACCAAGGGCTGAATACACAGAGCTCCTGCTCCTTAGACAACGTAAAGGGGAGACATCAGGTACAGTCAGTGACATTCTGTGGTGTAGACAGATAAGGGTCCATCATGCCACATGTACACCAGACTGTCCAGTCCTGCTCCAGCCAGAAAGAGGCTGAGAACTCTGCTCCGACACAGCCCTCTTTCCATGCATGGCTCTGTCAGTGGAAGAGTCCAGCTCAGCATCCAATGTAACTGCTAGTGAAGGGAATTAGAAGTTGTCATCTTGCATTCAGCCTGGGGTCTCCCAGCTACTGCCCTGCAACAACAGAGACCCTCAAACCGAGCAGCTGAGTGACGGCTCCTGCATGCTACGACTGCCTGCCTGAGTAGAAGCTGTAGACCTTGTATGAAGGGTGCTGCGGTTCACTGACACAGACCAGAGCATGGGCTCCTGGCGGGTCGTGGGACAGTGGGTGCCTGAGGGTTTGTTAGCAGGATCGAATGATGGCTGCTGGTTCCCAGGAGCCCGGGGAACATGCAGAAGCTCTGCAGGGTGGTGGCCTGCTCCAGTTGCATTGGATATAGGTGCTGACCTGAGGGCAGCCCTGCCCTGCCCACTGCTGCATCATTTATGGGGTGGCTGGGCGGAGGCAGAGTGGAGGGCACTCCTGTCTACTTGTCACATTCCAGGTCCTGGGCCCCCTCGTTGCCCTGGTAGTGCCTCTCACAGAACTCCTGGATGCGACTGCAGGCCTCCACCATCATCTCCTCGGGCACCGTTAGCACCACCCGGAAGAAATTGGGGTACTCAAAGCACTGAAATAAACCATGGGAAAAGGCTGGTTAGTTGGGCAGGGGTGAAACTGGGGTCTCAGACTCCTGCCCTGCCATGTCCCCGGCTGTGTCCAGCGAGCAAGCACAACCCACAGGGACGGGCCTAGCCAGATGGAAGGAGCATAGCACTGTGGTCAGGAGCTGTGGGATCTAATCCTGGACCGTCAGCATCTCCGTCTGTAAAATGCCTTTCACAGTGCAAACACCCTGTGGCTGCTGCATCAGCAAGGAGCTGAGACACCCTCAGGGGAAGGGGCTGTAAGCAAAGAGCTGGTGGGGTCACACACAGCAGCCCCTAGGCGGGACCCAGAGAAGAGGCTGGAGGGAGACGAGGACTCTCAAGGCTCAGTGAGTGACTAAGGAACCGGGCGGGTGACTGCGGGCAATTGGAGCGGGAAGGGGAGACATGGAGCACATCTCCAGCCTTGTCCCTGCACCATGAATGGGGCCTCGGGGTTTGCACAGGGCATCGAACTGAGCCAGTGCAAAAGTCCGCAGGGAGCTGCTCTTGTGCGAAGCAGAGAGGACACAGGGCTCAGGAATACTGCACTGCATGGGGCAGGAATACAGGCTGCACAGCATGGGGCAGACTCTGCAATCTGAGAGACAGGACAGCGGCCACCTGGGGCCTGGCTAGGGTAAGGAGTGACCATTGCACCACTGCCCAGGGCTTCTGGCAGACCACATGACACCCAGCCCCCTTCCCCCAACGCCCCATGCTCAGAGCTTCCAGGCCCCCCAGACTCTCTACAAGTGTGGCTGCTCTGAGGGGAACACTGACCGAGGCCGGCAGGCAGAAGACTGACTGCTCTGAGATCAGCTGCTTGGTGAACTCCACGTCATTCTCAAACTTGGGGAAATGCTCCATTTCAATTCCAACCTGCAGCACAGAAATTAGGGATGTCAGAGGCCAAGGCTGGATAGGATAGCACCAGGCATCACCATGGAGCTCCTCCCTCACAGCACCCACAAAGCATCCCT